CCCCCCCCCCCCCCCCCCCCCCCCCCCCATGAATTTGTAGACAGTCACCAGATCCCCTCTCGGCATTCTCTTATGAAGGCTGAAGAGATCCAGGTCCCTCAGTCTCTCCTCGTAGGACCTTTCCTTCAGGCCCCTAACCATATGAATGGCCCTCCTCTGGACCCTCTCAAAGTTATCCACATCTCTCTTAAAGTGCAGTGCCCAAAACTGGACTCAGTACTCCAGCTGTGGCCTTACCAGTGCCACTTAGAGGGGAAAGTATCACTTCCTTAGACCTGTTTGTGATGCGCCTGGCCTGCTGCCTCATTTGTTAACCACTGTGGACAACACTGCCACTGCCTGTTGTCCAAGCCCATTACTTGGACATTTTCTTCAGCTTGGATCTCTCTTGGTCCTTGCTTCCAGTCTGAATCTGTGTGTGTGGACAGATGAACAAATTATATCAGCTTAGAAGGGAAATAAAGAATTCCATATTTTTTTCATGTATAATATACACCTTTTCCCTAAAAATATGGAATTGGAGCATATATTATATGTGAGAAACATGGTAAGAGTAGATTCTGCTGCTTGCTTGGTGAAACCAAAAGTAGCAGTCCACAGGAAGCAGTACAGTGAGCAGGCCCGGCTCTCTAGCTACTGCTACTGAGTTCCTTACTACAAGAATGAAGAAAAAGCCTTTTTCTTTTTGCCTTCATGTGCAAAAGGAATGTGTTTTTTTTTATAAGATGTGTTGTATGCAAGACAGGATCCTATCAGTTGGTGCTGCCTTGTGTGTCCATTCCATTCTGTTGGTATGAAAGCTAAGCTGTGATAAATTAGTAGTTTTCATTCAGGGGTGAACTGATACAACTTCCACTTACTGCAGGATGGAGTGAGTGGGCTTATGACTGTTACTGTGGAGCAGCTGAAATGCAGTAAGAAACCTCTCATTTAATTCTATACAATTTGTTCATCTGTCTATACCAAGGGTGGGCAAAATACAGGCTAGGAGCTAGATCTGGTCCATCAGCTGATTGGATCCAGCCTGCAGGCAGGTGCTCACCAATTAATTGTATCTGGCCTGGTGGCAGCTTCTCCTGCTGTGTTTCACAGTGGGCCAAGCTCTGCCTGCTCCCACCCGGGGCAGCGCACTATGTTCCCACCCTTGCCTGCCGGAGTCCCCCAAGGGACTTCTGGGCAGGGCTGCTACTGCTGCCACGCAGGGAACTGCTTGGGTCCTTGCTCTTCCTCTTGTCCCTGCTTCAGCACTGTGGGCAGTAGGTGTGGTGGGGAAGTGGTGGCCAGCTGGGGGAAAAGCAGCAGCCAGCAGGGACAGGGAGGGAAGCAGGGGAAGCAGTGGTGGCCCCTTGGGGCACTCATGCTCCCTGCCACCATGTGCAGCTCCCAGGACTTGGCCAGGAGCTGCATGCCATGGAACTGGTCTGGCCTGGCCTCACTCCCCCACCACCTCTGGCCAGCTCTCTGGCTCCAGCCTCCCACATGTGTGCACCTTACTTCCACCCCTCCCATCGTACTCGCACACATCCCCCACATGCCTCTCCATACCCATACCCATATTCACACATACCTCACACCCCTTGCACTCCACAACACACACCCCTGTAGAGGGACAATATATCCCAGTCAAGGGGTGTACCTTCTGATGGCAGGGGCTATGTGACAGGGCCATGGGATTCTGGGACCAACATGGCAGCGAGCAGGGCCAGGTCTGGTGTTGGCTAGGTGGGCCTTCTTATGTCATGGACCATGTGACACAGCAGGACTTGTGGTTCTAAGGTGGCAAGCCCCCTTTTCAAAAGGTGTATTTCCTTGGCAAGGGGAGGGACTTCTGGTGGCAAAAGTCAGGGGTTTGGGTGTGGGACTTCTGGTCCTAAGATGGCGACCAGGGAGCAGGGCACCTATCAAAGGGCGGGGCTTAGCAATTTGATGATGTGCGTACCCTCATAGCCCTCAACAGGTCACCAATACTTGTTAAGCAGTCCTCCAGCTGAAATAATTATGCACCCTTGTTCTACACTTAAAAGCTTCTTGATTTTTGTTTCTTTCTGTATTTCTGTAAGATAAGTCTTTTCTGTTTAATCCACACAGCTAAAACTTTCACCTGGGCTCTTACAGTTTTGCATCTCTGGTACTGCGACATCCTTTTCTTTAGCACTGACAAGTGCAGTCCTGCTTTGATCATAGTCATTCAGAAAGCTGTTGCTGTGATCATTCGCCTAGCCTGTCAATTTGACCAGATCACTTGTCTCTTCATATTCCTCCGTTAGTTCTCTCTTTTCTGTCTCCTCCAAACATAAACATGTGTGTTCACTTTTGAGGTCCTTCCTGGCTTTACATGATTGATTGTGTGTTGCATTGCTATTGAGATGCTGACTTAACCCTCCATTTGGCCCACACTACCAATCCATTGGCCACTTGATAAACTTTCAAGCAGGTCGTTCTGTGTTTTCTCCTCTCCTGTCTGTTATACTTGGGTGGAACAGTCAGTTAACATCTGCAAAACTCCTTTAATCTTACCTTTGCTGTAAGATTTGTATAGAAAACTTGGCAACAGCTAAGCTGTTGATGTCCTGAGGCTGCCAACTACTATTTTTTTCTTTTTCCTTGACTACTTGTTTCCCTATTGTCTTGGTTTTATGCTTAGATTTTAAACTCTTTGTTGGGAGCCATCTCTGCTCGGTATTTGTCTAGTATAAGAGGTGTGGGTTGATGAGTGGTTCTATAATAATTCATTACTTACGTAAGCATTTTTGATGCACAAAAACTTTCCAAGTAGCTTGCTGCTGGTGGGGTCAATACTGTCCTGCTCCACTGGTGGTAGTTCTTACAGTTGGAGAGAGCTATATTTGCCCACACCCTTGTGTTGTAAGTTATTCTTTTACCTCTGTAGTATGTTGTGTCAATTATTCATAAAATGGTAAAAGTATCCTAATGTATCATTTTACTAACTTCATTTTGAGCCTTGTGCTTTAAGAACAAGGAAGAAAGGGGGGTTTTTCAGATTAAATGTAAATGAACTTAGGAATGTTAGCCAAAATAAGTAAATTTTTTTGTTTACATGCTTTTAAATATTTCTCTTGATTTTTTTGATTATACAGGCACAATAAACCAACAGAGATACTCTGAGAAGGTTATCTAAAACAATTTGGTGAGTAGTTGTAAATTTCCTTCCCCTTTTCCTTGGTTTTATAACAACATCCTGGTTGCAAATATTCCAAATTTTTGTTAAATACCGTAGGCATTAACAATGTTGCTTGCTTGGAAATGTTGCCATATCACTGCACATGTTGTCTTAGTAATAGTCACTGTCACAGGATGAGCTCTTTACATAAAACTTACAAACTACAATGCAAGTTTGTTGCAAACTTCTAGCTTCTGCTTCTGATTTTTTATCCAAGTAAAAATTAATGTGCTTGGACTGTGTACAGCAAACAGGTGAACAACTTGTTCTTTATTTGACAAACTGCTATGAATTAAGCAAGTTGCAAACACTGAGAGGAAAATTATCTGGGTTCTGTTGTAGATATAAATGATAAAATGCTTTAGCTAGAAAGCTTGTCTAACACTTCTCCTAATTATACAGTTGGTCCATTAAAAGATAGCAGCAAAAATTCTCTTATATTTCCTGGACCATCACAGATACAATAGCACTCCATCCCTACTACTAGCTGAGTCTAGTTATAATGTAATCTGAACTGCTGAGAGACACCATTCAAACAGCATTTTTATTCCAGTATTCTCTAACAACAATATTAGTTTCCAGTTTAAATTTATCAGTGTGTGCGTGTGGAGATATGTTTTATAGTGGCTCTCAGTTCAGTTCAGATTCTGTATTTAATATTAAAGGAGATGATGAGGTTGTTCTTAGATATGTTCTCCTGCCTTTAATCTAATTATTCCATATATTTAAGTGTATCTCTTTTCTGATTTTGAGTGAGTAAATATGAAGTACAGATGTTATGAAATATTATTCATCATAATATTGTCCATGCATATAATTTCCTTTTTTTCCTGTCAGTTGTGAAAGTTTTATTACAATATGAGGAGTAATATGGTGATCCTTCTGACCAGTATTTGATATTTCATGTGCTGTGATGTGGGACTTGACTCCCATGCAGTCTTAAGGCAAAAGGAGTCCCTGAGTTCCTTGTATTTGAAACGTTTCTCGTAAACTGGAGAGCAAAAGAAGCGAATTTTGTAGGCAGAAACCCAAGGCACAGGGGAAGAGTGAGGAACCACTTCTGTTTTCTGTCAAAACTGGCATATCTGAGAGTTATGCTGTAGTGTTCTCACAGAGTCTTTTGCTAACTAACCTACAAGGTGGATGGAATTTCAATTTTTTTTTGATTTGTGCAAGATTTAAGGTCCTCAAAGGGCCCTAAGCTATGGGCAGTGTAAGTACCTCTGTGATCATTTGACATCCAGAACTTTAGCTATCCTCCTGTAGAATCCTGTATGATTAGTTAATTCCTCATGGTTTGCAAATGATCTCCTTCAGGATCTGGATCTCCAACAGCTGCTCTTGCTCTTTGTTTTGCCCCACGTCTGGCCTGCTTCAGGTACACCCTTTTTCTTACGCATCAGTTCTGACCCTTAAGTCAGGTCTAGTTCTTATTTAATTCAATTTCACTTTGTGACCTTGCAGCTATTGGGTATTTGAATTGGTAAGCACCATATCAGCAGTAATGTTTTTCAGGACAATGAAGAGAATACTGAATGGGGTGAATTATTCAGAAGGTTTTGCTTCATGTAACAAACTTTTATATTTGCCATATGTAAGCTTCTCAGAAGAGGCTTAAATGTGAAGTTCCTCAACAGAAACTTTTCCTTACTTGTTGCCTCATCTCAAATTTAACCTGTAAAATATAGATTTCTCTTTGAATTCAGAGCCTATAAAATTATCAGTATTCATGCTGAAGCAAAAGCTGATAGTTTTGGAGCTGGATATTTTTGACTCCTGGCACACATTCACTTAATGGTGCAATGGAATCTGTTCACTCGTTCCCAGTCATCACACCTACTGCCATGCCACATGTATAAGACAAGAGACACAGTTTTGCAATTGGGGATGAGGTCCCCTTGGGCCATTACTGCTCCCCAGTGCAAGGTGAACCTGACATTATGTAGAAAGCCAGGTGCCTAGTGAACTACTGTGGTCCTGGGGCTGAGACCGATAAGCAGCTGATTGTCAGTCTCAGCCCCAGGACCGCACCAGAGTGAGTTCAACACACCATTGTGGTTCTGGGATTGTCAGCTGATTGTGGGTCTCTGCCTCAGGACCACACTGGAGCCAGTCCTAGAACCCTGCCATGTAGCCAGCATCATACTATATGGCGGGGACCCTGCCTTACGTTCAATTTAATTCGCAATGGAGACCAGCCACAAGATTATTACATATGTCTTGTGGAATAATTCTGTGGCTTATTTCCCATTTTACTGCACCATTACTTGTCTGATGTGTGGCCAGGTAATAATTTGTGATTCGATTAGCTAGTTAATTGTGTCTTAAGTGTAATGTCCACCAAGGAGCCTTATAGAGATTCTGAAAGCCCTAGAGTGATTTTTAAAATAGCCTGAGGAGTTTCATGAACTTTTTTCTTCTTGTAATTATAAATTCAAAAGGTTTTTCTACATTTTTACCATGACTCCTCCCCCATATAATTAGAACAAATCTCAAGAGAAATTATTTTGAGGGGAATAAATGAGTTGTGTGCTTTCTCAAGATTCTAATCCCTGGAATGATCCTGTCCGTGTTCAAACACTTCCTGTAACATTGTTAATGTATGACTCTTCAACTTGGAAAATTTCAGGAAACACAAATTAATAAACCTAGTAACTTATTCTGCCATTGCAGAAAGTGACTTCCTACATTGCAGCTTTGTTTCACATATCACTTTATTTTCAGAAGACCTTGAACACAATTCTCAGAGTTAGTTGCAAAGAGAATTTTATTGCAACTACCAAGGAGTCGGATGCAATCACAGAGATAACCAACCTTCTGCTCCCCCTTTTCCTTGCCTTCTCCCAGTGTCATTGAGAAGATGGTTAAAACAGTATAGAGGCTGTCTTGATCATAATGGAGATTGCCAGAAGATAGCAATCCAGGTATCGTGACAGTGGTCACTGCCATATGCATCACAGAACAGTGCAGGAAGTTCTGTGTAGGGTAATTATGGAATCATCTTCTCCTAGACTATGGATAGAGGTAGCTTATAATCACCGTAAAAGGAAAGGAGATTGGGGTGTTCATCAGTTGTAACAACTTACATCTGTGTGGTTCCTTAATGATACAAGTGAGTTAAAATGCTGTCAAATTTGACCTGAAAATGTCAGGTTTAAGAAAAAAAATTAAACTAACCAAATTTTTGCTTGTTAAATAATCCCTGGAAGCTTGAAAATACAATAATGTCAAAAGATTTTGTTCTCTTCTTCATGAAAGATGTTAGAGGTTTGCTCACTACCCACAAGTCATTTATGATGTGTTTGTGATTGTGTATTCATGCTGTTTATGTAAGTTTTGGCTTAGACATATATTTGTGACATGGGATATAGAGTTATATTTCTAAACAAAAATAGACCTAAATATCAGTTTATATATGCTATTTTATAACATTTTATTTATGTCAGTTTTGCGCATGCTCATTCTCTCTCCCTTTTTTTATACAACTAAATATGTAATTCAGGAGGAAAAAACCCTAATATTTTTTAATATTAAATTCTTCTGTAAATCACATTTTTAGTGAAAACCTTTAGACATAACATATATACTTGAGTAATTACAAGTATGTGTATTAATTAAAGGCATCCTCTGATTTTAATATACGAGGTGGCTATCTCATGTTAGGACAACTGAATTGTATTAAGATTTTGTGCATGTTACTTCTGCAGCTAAAATTAATCAATTTGAATTATTAAATTTAACGTGATTATACAGTGATGCATAGTTTGGAACTTGGTTGACTTGTTAATTACTGTTCTGTGATAGCAGACAGATGCACATATGTAAAACTTGGCTCATAGCTTATGCACAGGTGCATTTATGACCTCATTAATATCAATATGTGCAAGACAGATTAAGTAACCAAAGCTTGCTAATGTCCAACACATAGTGAGCCATAAAACACTAAGGGCTGATCATCATTTACAAGTAGAATTTTAATTTGGTAATGACAACAGAGGAGTTCTTGAAAAGCTAATTTTTTTTTGATTATCTTCTAAAATGTTATACTGG